CCCCCCTCCCTATTCCACTCCCCCCTCACCTTCAATTGTAGCCTTGTGATTGTCAGTGTGGAGTTTGCACGTTCTCCTGGTGTCTGCATGGGTTTCCACTGGGTGCTCCAATTTTCTCCCACATTCCAAAGATGTGCAGCGATAGTAGGAACTGCCAATGCTGGAGTCTGAGATAACAAGTGTGGAACTGGATGAACACAGCAGGCCAGGCAGCAAGAGGAGGAGCAGGAAAGCTGACATTTTGGGTCTGGACTCTTCTTCAGAAATTCTCAATTCATTTCTGATTCTAAGTGGTTTGGCAGGCTTAAAAAATAGATAAATCTCCAGGACCGGATGAAATGTACCCAAATGTTTGAGGGAACTGGCAATAATTTTCAATTCCTGTCTGGCCACAGGAGAGGTGCCAGAGGACTGGAGGATGGCCAATGTTATTCAAGGAGGGAGCAAAGGACAAACAAGGAAACTGCATGCCATTCAGTCTAATCTCTGATGGACAGAAGTAACCTGCATTTTGAGAAGCAGGGATCAATCAAGAATAATCATCATGGCTTAAAGGGGAGGCCATGTTTAACTGAATTTTTCAAGCAGGTAATCAGGTGTGTTGATGATAACAACACATTCGATGTAGCCTCTTTGGACATCAGCCTTGGACCTTTGATAAGATCATGTATGGGAAACTGATAGCACATGGGATCCAAGGAAATTTGGCAAATTGGACCCAGAGCTACAAGAAGCAGAGGGTTGTGGTTGAGAGGTATTTTTGTTATTGGAAGCCTGTGTCCACTGGGATCAGTGTTGGGGCCTTTACTGTTTGTGATATATATGAATGATTTAGATTTGAATGTCGGAGGGTTGATCGGTAAGTTTGCAAATGATACGAAAATTAATGAGTTGCTAAATACTGAGGAGGATAGCCTTAGATTATAGGAGAATATAGACAGGTTGTTTGGTGGCATATGGAATTTAATTCAGATAAATGTGAAGTGATACACTTGGGGTGGACAAAAAAGGCAGAGGAATACATGATGCACAGTAGGACCCTGAGTAGCACCTAGAGTTGGAGGGCTTTTGATATGCATGGCTATCGGTCTTTTAAGATAGGAGGACAAGTAAATAAAAGTGGTTAAGAAAGCATCTGGAGATAGTTAGAACTGCCAATGCTGGAGTCAGAGACAACACAGTGTGGAGCTGGAGGAACACAGCAGGCCGGGCAGCATCAGAGGAGCAGGAGAGTTGACATTTCGGGTCAGGAACCTTCTTCAGAAAATGGGGCTGAAGAAGGGTCCCGAAGAAAGCATCTGGGATACTCGCCGTTATTAGTTGAGCCGTAGAATTTAGAGCAGGGAAGTAATGCTGGAAATGGCCACAACTAGAGTATTGTGTGTACTTCTGGAATCCACATAATAGGAGGGATGTGAGTGCACTGGAGAGAGTGCAGAGGAGATTTACCAGGATGTTACCTGCAGTGGAGAGTTTTAGTTATGAAGAGAGGTTGGGTAGATTGCGGTTGTTTTCCTTGGAACAGAGGAGACTTGTTGGGGGGTGCATAAATGAGATATATAAAATTTGAGGGACATAGGTAAGGTAGACAGGAAGAAACTTTTCCCCTTACTTCGTAAGTAATTAAATGTACACTTGCAATGCCAAGACATACAAGGTTATGAGCCAAGTGCTGAAAAATAGGATTAGAATAGTCAGGTGGTTGTTTTTGACTGGTGTAGACTTAATGGGCTGAAGGGCCTTTTTTTGTGCTGTAGACCTCTATGACGCTCGAACAGTTCTCAGTATTCTAGGTGTAGTCTAACTGGTAGCTTGCATAGTTTTAACATGATGTCCCTCTTTTATACTCATTTTCTTTGGAATAAAGGCTATTTCAAGGAAAATAGATAAATAAAGGGAATTCAATTTCTCTACGCTGTTATGTCCAGTACTGTTAATACTATCTGTTTGTGATTTATGCACAAGGACTTCCAAACCCCTCTGTGCTGCAGCTTTCTGCAGTCTTTCTCTATTTAAATAATATTCAGCTCCCCTATTCTTCCTCCCATTTCCCTCATTACATTCCATCAGCCAAGTTTTTGCCTACTCGCTTAAATTGTCTATGCCTTTGTAGACTCTTTGTGTCATCTGCAAACTTGGTGATAGTACATTCACTTACTTCATCCATGTCATTAATATTTATTGGAAATAATTATAGTTCCAGCACTGATCCATGTAGCGCTCCACTCGTTACAGATTGCCACCCTGAAATGCCCCCTTTATTCTCATCTCCCTGGATTCCATTATTTATCCAATACCATTGGGTCTTATGTTATTAAAGCCTAAAATTCGTTACCTTCTTGAATGCTGTTTGGAAATCCAAAAATATTCCATCCGCTGCTTCCCCTTTATCTATTGTGCTTGCTTCTTCCCCAAAGAATTCAAATAAATTTGTCAGGCATGATTTCTCCATCATGAAACCATGCTGAATCTGCTTGATTATGTATTCGTAAATGCACTGCTGTTACATCCTTTATAAATAGACTGTAACATTTTTGGATTGGATTCTTGGATCACTGGGAGAGCTTCTGGTGTAGGTGGAACCTGTACAAGCTGGACTGGAATGGGTCCAACATCCTTGCTGGGATGTTTGCTCATGATGTCGGGGAGATTTAAACTGTTCTGGCAGGGGGAGCAGGCACAGAGTAGATGTAAAGTCAGGAGCAAGTTCCAATCAGATTTGGAAAGAATGCTAGGACAGTCCAGTAGGTGGAGAAGACATGGGCAGGATAAGACACATGGGAGGTCCAGAAAGCTAAATTATATCTATTTTATCTCTGATTCTGTTGTCAGTGTCATTGTTTCATTCCTGGTGGATAGTGATAGCCAACCTTTTATCTCTCTGGGTATGGAGATTTTTGAACTCCTCGAGGTAAGTTACCTCAGAAGGTTTTTCAGAGGTCACCTCAATTTTAAGAGCTTGTGCTAATCAAAAGCAAACTGCTTAAGATATTTAAATTCCAGGTATGCCTGATCAAGCTGTTTCGTGAAGGCACAGAATTTCTTCTCAATGCCCTGGCACAACCTGATACTCACTTAAAATGTCGCTTTTGCTGCTTCATAGTCAGTGACACTCTGTTCGGATCAGAGAGAGTAAACTTCATGAGTTGTCTCTGTCAGTCAGCTCTGTAACAACAGAGTCCTTTAACTGCTTCACAAACCAATGTTGCCCCATCTTCAAAGGCTTTTTCATCTCTTTCTCATCTTTTTATTTCTCTTTCAGTTTCTTTCTCATTTCGTAATCCTTACCTATCTCCCCTCTTTTCCTTGATAGGCGACAACACTCCTGCACAACAATCCTCAACACAGGTGCCCTGCAAGACTGCGTACTCAGCCCCTTACTATACTCCTTATATGTTCATGACTGTGTGGCCAAATTTAGCTCGAACTTCAAGTTCGCAGGCTTAACAATCACTAAAAATTTGTCCTGATCTATCCACATGGACGCTATAATTAAGAAAGCACACCAATGTCTCTATATCCTCGGAAGACTAAGGAAATTTGGCATGTCATTGTGAATTGCCAATTTTTATAGATGCACCTAAGAAAGCATCCTATCTAGATATATCGCAGCTTGGTATGGCAACTGCTGTGCCCAAGACCATAAGAAATTACAGTGAATTGTGATTGGGCAGGAGACAAATGTCTGAAAAAACATACCAACAGATTTAAGAACAGCTTCTTCTTCACTGTTATCAGACTTATGAATGGGCCTCTCATATTAGAGATGATCATTCTCTGCACCTTCTCTGTAGCTGTAGCACTCTTTTCTGCATTCTTTCTGATTACCCTGATGTACTTATGTAAGGTATGATTTGTCTGGTTAGCATGCAAAACAATACTTTTCTCTGTATCTCAATACATGTGACAATAATAAATCAAATCAAATCATTTATAGTATCATACAATATCTCCACCCGATGACAGCAAGAACTGCAGATGCTAGAGTCAGAGACAACAAGTGTGGAGCTGGAGGAACACAGCAGGCCAGACAGCATCAGAGGCACAGGAAGGGTCTCGACCTGAAACATCACCTTTCCTGTTCCTCAGATGCTGCCTGGCCTGCTGTGTTCCTCCAGGTCCATACTGTGTTGTCTCTCCACCTGATGCCTGTTGCCAGTCTGCTAGTTAATAACTCTTAGCAGAACCCTCATTGTCTGTTTAGAACATAGAACATTACAGCGCAGTACAGGCCCTTCGGCCCTCGATGTTGCGCCGACCTGTTTGTACATGAACATCAGCCAATCCATGAAAGGTTAATTATTGTTACTGGAAGTTTCTTTAAAATTTGTCTTCTTGACATTTTTATTTTAGCAAATTTGGTGAGTTTATTTCAAAGTCAGAAAAAAAATGTTCTTCTGGCACCTTCTGATGCTTCTCATTTCCAGTGTACCATTTGGCACATGATGAAAGAAAATCCTTATTTAATTTGTAACTAGCCTGTTATCTATTTGGCATGAGGGGGAGAAAAGAATTATAAGAGAATGTAAAAGATGACATACTTCAAAAAAGAAACTAGAATTACTTTTCAATAGAGAATTTATAGAACATAAACTTTGTCAGCAATTTAACTTAAAATGAATAAGTTAGTTGTTAATATCTCATCTGATCACCAACTAAAAACCCAAAAAAACTTGCAATTATTTAATGCTTTTGATATTGTACAACATTCCAAGGTACTTTAAAGGAGCCTTTACAAAGAAACGTTGAAATAGAGCCACATGCAAGATATTGGGTCAA